CTGTGGTGAAAGCACTCTCACATGTTTACCTGAACATTTCCCTTTTCCCCTGTACGCACATACGGCCCTTTAACAAAAAGTACGCAAAACTATGGGCAGCTCACTTTTGAGCTTTACCAATGTCCGCCTAAACAGATTTGAAAGGCAAAGCAACAATAAAAATCCAACAGCTAATCAAATATGGAAAATAATTCAGCATGCTTAAATCTAATACTTGGAACAAGACATTGTATATTCATGCAGTTCTTCTGACTAAGAACTGAAATATACAAAGATGATTGCAGTTTTGCATATCTGAAACACAGAAGGCAAGACAACCTTTGAGCTTTTAGGAAAATATACAGTATAATGATTTGCTTGTTTTATAACGGTGCCAGGCCATTGTGTGCTTGGGCAAGACACTTTACCCGCATTTGCTCCTGTGGGTAATGTCCACATTAATGACTCGTACATGTCTGATATGTGTAATGTGTAATTGTAAAGCGCTTTGAGCACCTGTAAAAGCGCTCTAATAAAAAATGTAATCAGAGACTAACTTATAATTAAACATTAACTTCTTATCAACAGAAATCAGTTTCATCCAACGTTAACGGAGGATACTCAACGACGTCGGAAAAACGATATTCACCCAAAAACCCCACTGAATTCAAGTGAGTCCTCTCTGCACTCATACCCTTATGTGACAAATATAGCCCCCAGTGTAGATATATTTAATCGCATTACTACTGTCAAAACATCGTTCCACTTACTTTATCACAAAAGCCGCTAATCCGGGTCCAACCATCCTACAGTAAGCCCTTCCCTTTTTGCGCAAGGCTACTTGGGGGCGGACCCAGATCTGTGACCACCACCCACTATCACCAATCCAAGGCCAACCATTCCCTCTTCAAATTCGAAGCCAGGACTCAAGCCTTTTGTCCTCGCTTCCCCACCTCCTCCCAACCGGCAAACTGTGGACCTTCTGTCCGACTATCTTTTCCCCCTCGTATATTCTCCCGGTAAGGCTTCGCTACTAATACGAACACCTTACCGTCCTGCACAATCCAACGACTCTCACCTGCGACTGGCCCTACGTAATTACACTTCAACCTAGGTCATAACGCTACTGCACGTTATGCTATGTCACCTTGTCGCCTGTCAGACTTGCAGCGCGACACGTCAGTATACCGACTATCGTTTGAAATTGTTACCACTGCCGTCAAAAGTCCGTGTTTTTATTGCTCAATACTGAATGGAGTCATATATGAGAGAACAATCGAAAGACTCATTGGGTGAAAAACAATACGAAATCAAGCTAGCGGCCACGTCCTGACTCCTACATGTGTCAGACTAAATCTTTTCAAAGGTTAATAGTACGTCAAGGTCAACCGAATGTATTTTCTTAAAGTACCGTAGAGAGGGACAGAAAAAGGGGGTCTACGGAGAATAAGAGACAAGAACAAGAGAAACAGTCTACGGACCACAAAAGAAAAGGTTGGCGTTAAGAAAAAGTAGATCGAAGTGCCAAAGATCAAGAAAGTGGTGTTAAGGATAGGGGTGTAGTACTATGCAAACTTAGAGTAGTAGTATCATCGGGATTATTCTCCTTATTATTA